TTTTTTTTTTTTTTTTAACAGTTGTGATTCTTAAACTTTACAGGAGGGAATGTCCATATAGCCTTAGCTTGAAGTAATTAGGGCTGGGAAATGGAAAGTGACTTAACAAATTGACTGGGACTCTGTTGTAATGCTGTGTTTTCATTTCTGAGTTCAAATATAATTTAAGCAAGTTACAACTAGAGTACTGAAGTGGATTTTTTATTTTCAGAGCATGTGTATAATTTGTAGTTATTGTATCATTTTTCTTCACTGGGTATTTAAATAGTGTCTTCTGATACGTACGTGAAGGCCCGTTGCAGCTGTGCTGGTAGTTGCAGGAACTTGGACACCTGTTTTAAACCCTAGTTTATAGTCATCCTAGGAAAGGAATTCCAAAATTTGACTGGACGACTGTTACTTAAATCTATATTTTTCAAAGAGTTGCAGCTGAATAGAAGAAAAAGCAAAGGGCTGACCAACGTTTTATGAACACAGCCATGCTCATTTTCTATTTCTCTTTTCAAGTACTGATCTTGCAGGATACAACAGCACAGCTGAGTAGTTGTGACAGATTATTTTCCCAAAGCTTGAATATTTACTGTCTGGTCCTTTACGGAAAAGGTTTGCCTACCTCTGGTCTAGGGTGTTAGCAGTGAAGTTTATAATACCCCCCTGGAAGTGGAAAAGGAAAGGTGAATGATGAGTGGAGATAGGGGTGGAAGGGAAGCATTGCCTGTTTGGGAAAATAAGTGCTTCTACTAGAAGCATCAGTACTTATCCCTAGTTAGTTGAAAACAGACTCAAAGTTTTCTGTCCTTGATTGGTTTTGAAACAGCTCAGAATACTACCATTTAGCCAAAAGATTGTTATAACATTCCGGAGAACAAAATTATTTTAATAAAACCAAAATGTTATGTAACATTACAATGAAGTGTTAGTCAAATCCAACACCTTGTTTATCTTAATTGTGTAATGAATGGATGAGTGATCTGGTAAGGAGATCTGGATGTCAACTGTTCCTAAGTTTGCTGGGCATTTTAAAGACCGTTTATATGGTGGTGTTACCATTGCTCTACAGTGCCTTAGGAATTGATTTAGATGAGGAGTTAAATTCCTTTATAAAAACTCATTGTATTTGCTGGAAACTTGCCATGAAAAATGGAAACTGCAGCTTGTGAATGGGAAAGGTTTACAGGAACTTAGATTGTTCAGTAGACATTGAGGCATGCCTGCAAACAGAGACACCAGCTGGCTTAAATGAAGTATAAATGAATCTAGGCAAACAAATGAGATGTCTGTTGGAGGAGGCAGCATTTCACTTCAGATGTCATTTATATTGAGCCAGAAATGTTTCTAATATTTTGTGGTTATTTAAACAGCTGTTAAGTAGCTTCTAGTTTCTCAGTGTATTTGACAAATAAACTGCTTTTAATGGTCTTTGTACTTTGGATTCTAGACATGGTATTTTATTTAGGACCACATATGTAGCTGCGGTTATTTCAGTTCTTTGAATTATGCATGTAAGAATCCTGTAAGTTTATGGCCATTAAAAGCAGAGCACCATTGTATTCATTATTGAGCTTTTATTTTATCTGTGAGTTTTTTTACTTGAAATACAGTTGATACACAATATTATGTTGGTTTTAGGCGAGCTATTGTTTTTGAAGTAAAAAAACAAAGCCTAACTTGAGCACAGAAACATAATGGGTATAAACATGGCTAGATCAGAAAGGCTAGCCCTTCTTTAGGTATAGATGCTGCTAACATGGTTGCCACAGAGACATAATCTGAGATGTAAAGGAGAATAATAAATTCCGTCAGTTCTTCAGTGGCTTATAGGAAAACCAATATACTGTGTATTGCTCAGGTAGGTGTTTTCCTCAGTGCTTAGATAGACCCAGGAAGACACAATGCTCGAGGTGGTTTTGTTTTGAAGGGTTTGAGAGATTCAGTGGACGTGCCCAGCTTTGCATATTTTTCCTATTTGAAAAGAGACTCGATTCTCTCTCCACTTCAAGAAGAATGCAGAACTGCAGCATGGGTTTAGTGTTGGTCCCAGCTTTCTTCATGTTAACCTTGTGCTAGTACTGTTGACTCACAGAAGGTTCTCTGCATATGTAAAACTTTCGTGAATTTCTTGCCTTTGAGAAGACTACCTGCTTTCAAAAAAGTATTAAGGAGGGAATACTTTTTCAAGCGTATATGAACCAGTCTGGCATCTGTCTGCTGTGATAAATATGTTTTACAAATGCGTTTAGTTAAATAGATTCATCTTTAATTTTATTGCTGAGTGTAGGGATTCTAGAACTCAGCTTACTAATGTTTCTCAACTTTCTAAACATATCTGGAAATGTCATCTGTCAGCGACAGTCTTGTGGCAAAGACGTGTTAGTAGGAATGCCTCCCTGGATTTTGAGCGGGTAGGGTGGGTCATATGGGACTTGAATAATTTGAAAGTAACCCCAAAGGTATTTTTATCTGCCATACCTTCCCGTATAGTTAATGTCTTACCACAAATAGTTTTAAGACACTGAATTTATTTGTTGAGTTAATCAAGCCCTGTCATTTTCCAAGTTTAAAAAGGTAATACCAGTTCTACCCTCTCTCTATTTTTCTTTGTAGACGGTTTTTGGACAATGATAGCCCCAATATGTGACAAGATATTTTCTTTTAAATGTATGATTCAAACAAATGAGTAGCAAAACGAAATACAGCAATTAAAGATTGGAACAATTCTTTTTCTGAGGCACTTGAAATATACTTAAGAGTAGTCATTCCCTCATCCTCCTGGACAGTGATGGTAAAGATGGATTATGTACATTAAAATATTTA